GGCTTCATGAAAGCAGAAGAAAGCGCTGAGACGACCTGTCGGCCGGCGTCGCGCGGATCATGGCCGCTGCAAGCGCAGCTGAAGGCTCTGAGGGTTTTTGGGGTTTAAGGCGTCGGGATTATATAAAGTTGGAAAGTGTAGGATTCAATGGTTTTAGGGTTAAGGGCTTCGGCTTTGAGGTTTTCAAGTTTTAGGGCTTCGTGCTTGCGTTTAGGGTCCGTGCACCACAGGGTGCACACGGGTCTAGCTTGGGTCCTGCATAAAGAAAATTAGGATCCCGTTGTAGGGCGCTGGCCAGACTACGAACCTAAACCGTCATGTAGAAAGAGATAGGGCCAAAGTGAAGGGCTTGGCCTACAGCGAGCTGCATAGCGCGCTGCAGCTTGGCCTACAATGAGCAAGCCATAATGCCCACGTCGGTAAGGCACTCGCTGCGCAGAGAAATTAAGGCATTGACCGCTACCGACGCACATGAAGCCACAACGCACTCCGGATCAAAAAGGATCTATGTATGAAGGCTGCTGAAACAGCTGAAGCAAAGCCTAAGCGACTCACAAGAGCTCTGCTACTAAGACACGAGGCGGAAACATGAACATGTCTTTGGAAGGATGGATGGCACCACGGTTTGGAGCCCCTGCATCCCTTTAAAGGCTGGGAGAGGCAGCCATGCAGAGCCCCAACGTGCCCCCGCTCACAGTCCTGAATAAGAATCCCTATTAAGGACTGTCAGTACATATGGGGGAACATCCCAAGAAATGGGCACTGAGCTTTCAAGCTCGCCCCTAACTACCGCTCTCGAGTGCTTAGACCTTGTGTGCAAAACTTGGGTCAGGAGGTGTATTTGGGGTTCTAGGAACGGTAACTGTACTTATAGCTTGTTAGAAGCTTATTTGAGGTACTTATACCAAGTTACAACTACCCTGAAGACCTCCGTGTGGGAAGCCCAAAGACTTCTACCTCCCCACAAATCGGGAATTTACCCAAACTCGGGTCTTCCGAGTGCTTCCCCCGCTCTCCCCTCCCCCCTCCCCCTCCCCCCCCCCCACCCCCCCCAAAAAAAAATAATAATAAAAACACTCCCGGGACCCTAAAATCCTCAGAGTGCTCGGAGCCTTTAAAAGGGGGGGGTGGTGGGGGTAAGGCGAACCCTACCCTGGCTTCCTGGCTTCCTTGCATTTTTTCTTGCCCATAAATCGCAAATCCAGCGGCGGGTTGCGCCCGGCAGCAGAGAGGATGCTTGGATGATATAGACGTCCCTCCTCGCTCTGAAGCTCTAGGCTTAAAGGGTTTAGGGTTTAGGGTTTAGGGTTACCTTTATTACTCCAGGTTCCATTTTGGGTTCAGAGCTTCTGGGTTGTATGCCTTCCTGCCTGAGCTTCAGATGCTGGCCAAGAATGGCATGGCCCTTTGGGCGTCCAGTCTGGCAGCACGAACCGCATAACTCGAAACCCTGCGCTTACAAGTATGTAGAACCCTGAAACCCTTCGGCTGAACACAAGAGGGGCGTGATTTCATGCCTTCTTTGAGCGATGAGCCCCACTCCCTTCACCAAGCAGCAGGTCTCCTGGACGTGTCGCACTGGAGGTCAGGGTTTGGGCTTTGGGGCTTTGGGGCTTTGGGGTTTCGGGGTTTCGGGGTTTCGGGGTTCGGGGTTTTGGGGCTTTTGGGGCTTTGGGGTTTTGGGGCTTTGGGGTTTCGGGGTTTTGGGCTTCCGGCTTAGGGTCCGGATCTTTACGCCTTCAGACCCGGCAAAGAGAGCAACAGGACCTACAGGAACAGCTACTAGGGTTTAAGGCTCAGGGTGGAGGGTTGAAAGGTTGCTCTACGGGCCTGATGAATCAGAATGGGTGTTTTGAAGTAGCCGGAACTCCAGTATACTCAAAGCACTATAAGCCCAAACAACGGACGACAACGAACCCTAAACCCAGAGAGCCCAGACCTCTTAACTCAGCAGTACACACCTAAAATCACGTCGGGATCCCAATAAGGTACAACATGAACGAAGGTATGCTCCCAAATCCGAACCCCTGAAGCCCAAAGCCCTCTGAATACCCCCGAATTGAGTCTTCCTCAAACCCAAACCCTAAACCGCCCAAGTAATTTGCCGTGAGTAGACCTTGAACCCCAAACCCCAAGCCCTAAGCCCTGAAATTCAAGGGTTGTGGGGCTCCCTGCGAACCCTAAACCCGAAACCCTAACCCCTTTTAACCCTAAACCCTCAACCCTACACCCTAACCCCCATACCCTGAACCCGGCCTACTCGGGCCGGACAACGGAGCCGCGCTTCTTATTGCCCAGGCGCTTCATCACCTCGCGCACACGTCGCGGCACTCTGCAGTGGGGCGGGGGAGGTGGAGAGGTCGCAGGGCTTACCAGGATTTTACAGGTTTTTGCAGAGTTTTGAAGAGTTCTGCAGGGTTTTACAGGGTCTGCAACTTGTAGGGTTTATGTACAGTGAAAAGGATAAAGAACGTGAAGGGAGGCAGGAGTTCGGTTCCGAAGGTCCGCCAACTGGACCGCCAGCGAAGTGAACTTCAAGGCTGCAGAGTGTTTGTGCTGTTGAGGCTAGGGGCCCGAAGCCCTAAACCCAAAAACCTTAAACCTAAAAACCCTAAAAACCCTATAAACCTTATAAACCCTATAAACCCTAAACCTTAAACCCTATTCGGGCTTGGGATCTGAGGTGCATTAGGGGCTCCTCACAGAACGTGTCACAAGGGAAGCCTAGGACTTACTTGCTTACTTCGATGCATCCCCACCAACCAGGGAATACAGGAGGGGGCACCCTTTCTTGCAAGGGCTTGGGCCCTAAACCCTATAACCCCCAAAGTTCTTTAACCCCTACCAGTGTGCTTGTTTTCCTCGGGCTCAGGGCCCAAAGAGCTTGAGAAACTCTGCCTCCTCGAACTCGTCGTCGATGGCGAGGTTGGTTTCCAGAGCGCCCACCGCGCTGGCGGAGGTAAAGGACCCCGATTGGGACCTGCCTCGGCTCGCTGCACATGGGGGGCTGCGGGCCTAGTGATTTGGGACTGCAGCCTATAAAGATCATGGTGATGAGTCTGCTCAGTATTTGAGTGGTTCTTGACTATGGATATCATTGTCACCGGTTATGAATGATGGCATCCTGTCGGGGCCTTCGAAGGCCCCCAAATCAACCTCAAAAGGCCCTCCCCCCCCCCCCCCCCCCGCCCAACGCACATTGCATAGAAGATTCTACGGCGATTTGTTTTTTGGTAGTTTTAGATCGCTAACACCCCCCTCTTTCCCTTCAAGGCGGAGTCGGTTCTTTTGGGCCCTTCCCAGGTGCAGTTGGACATCAGCGCGGCCAAGCGGATGAACTTTAGCCTCGCATGATGCCCACAGCGGTTTTTTTTGAGGTCTTGCCAAAGAAACGAAGTTTTGGGGTTTATAGGGTTTTGAGGCATCTTTCGGGAAATTAGGGTGTTGGTTAGGGTTTCGGTGTTTGAGGAGCCCAAGGTTTTAGGGTGAAGTGAGTTTCGAGTTCAGTGTCGAAGGGTATGAAGGCTTTTCGCCTTGAGCGACTTATACACCAACGGCCCCCACGATCCGAGAACCGAAGCCCTAAAAGCCCTCAGAGTTGTCTGGTCTTCCGGCCTAGAGTAGTTCTACTTTGGGTTTCTAGGGTTTTAAGGCTCTGGGTTTAGGACTTCAAAGCCGCTTTTAAGCGCATGGATAGCTATGACTGGGGCGTTAAGTACAGTTTGGGGTTTAGGGGGCCAACTGGCGAGAGAGCATTCCTTCTGAGAAGTGGGTTTAGAGTTTAGGATTTAGGGCCCTGGTTTTGGTACCCAAACCCATGAGGAGTATGCCATAAATAGGAGCTGATGATGGTTGAGGGATGCAACTGTTTAGTGAATCCCTAAACCCTATAAACCCTCCACTGGCTCGATTCAGAGCTTTAGAGGCTTACAGCATGGGACCCTGGCATGTCACTGTCTTGGCAGCCCTACACCCTAAAACCCGAAATCCTGCAACCCTAATCCCCGAACACCGCAAACCCTAAAAGCCGAAAAACCCCTTTCCTCAAAGCCCAGCAGCTTCCGCACACATTTCTGGAAACGGAGGACGGGTCTCAAGTCGCTGGGCGAGGCCTGGCGGTTTAGCTTTCAGGGCTTGTAGTGTTGGCGGGGCGCTGCTGGGTTGGCGGACGCCACCAAGAGATTCTCTGAAGCCATCTAGGGGTGACCTAGACTTGAGGTCTTCCTCTTTGGACTGTTGTGTGGGGGGGTCGGGGTGGCTGCTATCAGGGTAGAGCCCCGCACCTCTTCACGCAAGCGACACAGCACACAGCAAGCTGCAGCAACTCAAGCTCGGCCATGCTAGCCGTGAGAGCGAGGGTTGGGTTTTCTTGCCTACCCCAACCAGCCGAAGACACCAGGCAAACCCTGCACCCCTAAGCCCTTGAACGCGAAACCCCTAAACCCTTGAACCCTTGAACCCTCGAACCCTTGAACCCTCGAACCCTTGAGCCCTTGAGCCCTTGAGCCCTTGAACCCTTGAACCCTTGACCCCTTGACCCCTTAACGCCCTTGAACCCCAAAGGCCCCTAAACCCTAAACCCTAAACCCTAAACCCTAAACCCTAAACCCTAAACCCTAAACCCTAAACCCTATACTGCCCAGTACCCCCCAAGAGAAGCCCCAGCCTCGGTGGAAGCCACGGAGGCTGCGGCACAGCTCTCCTCTCTCCAGATCGCAGGGGCAGGGTTTAGGGTTTAGGGTTTAGGGTTTAGGGTTTAGGGTTTAGGGTTTAGGGTTTAGGGTTTAGGGTTTAGGGTTTAGGGTTTAGGGTTTAGTTTTAGGGTTTAGGGTTTAGGGTTTAGGGTTTAGGGTTTAGGGTTTAGGGTTTAGGGTTTAGGGTTTAGGGTTTAGGGTTGAGGATTTAGGGTTTAGGGTTTAGGGTTTAGGGTTGAGGATTTAGGGTTTAGGGTTTAGGGTTTAGGGTCCGCTCCTGGGGGCCTTGAGCGTAACCGGAGGGATGGGGGGGGGGAGAGATCCTGGGGTCAGAGCTCGGGCTCCCCCAAAAATTTAAAAAAGCTTCTTCCCCACGTCCCTGAACACCCCGAGCCGGAGAAAAAGCACGAGGAGCCGGAACTGGAACCCTCAAACCACGGTTTAGGGTTTAGGGTTTAGGGTTTAGGGTTTGTGGTGCAGTATCTTCTGTTGAGTTCTGGTCGGGTTGAGGGTTTGGGGCTCAGGACTCAAGTTTTTTTAGGCTCCAGGGAACGGCGCAAGCGCATGCTGTTTCATGCATGCTTGCATGCACCCATCTAAAGGTGTACATTCTCGGGCCGGAAATTCCCCAAAAGAGCGCATGATCAGACAGAACTATCGTTCTATACCCTACAGCGCCTAACCCCAATTCCAATACCTGTGAACGTCCACGTGGGGAATTAGGTGTCAGTCCCCCTTAAACCTAGACGGCTGACCCTAACCCTGAGATGGGGGTTTACGATGTTAGGGGTACCTCATTGGGGTCCAAAAAAGAAGGGGACGCTACTATTTGGGGGTCTATCTTAGGGGTCCCCTATTTTCGTAATCCCCCCATATCGAGTGCCAGACAGCTCTACCGAAAGATTTTCGGGGAGGTCGTGGGCAGGCGGGCCTCCGCGGGGAGGAGGATGTCCGTGGAACCCAAAGCGGGTGCAACCTGCCCACAGGAAAAGGAATCCATGAGGGCATTTTGGTGCTTGAAGGTTTGAGGGGTTTCGGCTGTCGGAGGTTTTGGGACTTTTGAAAATTGGGTTCATCTCCATTCGATTCCTGTTGGCTATCCGACTATCCTGTCCGGTACTGCCCCGAGGTGGATGGGAATGGCATTTTGCTTTTCGGGTCGTGCCGGAAACAAGATCTGAGTTTCTGTCACTGCAACCCATACTTTGCAAAATCCGCCCTTCAGCTCTGAAAGTTCAAGCCGCACCCCCCCCCAAGCACCCGGCAATCACTGAAGCTACGAGTAGGGAGTTTAGGGTTTGCTTGGAGGGTTGTAAGTAGGGTAACTATAGCCATATCTTGTTCTGACCTTGTTTTGGGGCATTCCACATCAAATGAGAAGTGGACGTGAACCGTTGAGTCCCCACAACTTGAAAAGCCCTCGCTTTGCACCTTGAAGCCCTATGTGAATAGAAACCGTCAGCCAAAATAAACCCTCTCAAAGCCAATAAGGGGGAACATGTAAACGAAGTCCCGCACAAGACCCACTTGCCCCCTGCAAGTTCCCAGGTCTCCAAACCCCAAACCCTAAAACCTAGGACAGCAGCTTTTCAGAATTCCCGGGGGCCCTTCTTGAATTTAAATGGAGGTGCCTTGGGCCCGTCGGCCCGCCGGCAGCAGACCAAGTCCTGGGCTCTTCGAGGGCTTTTGTATATTTAATATCACAAGAATTGGATGAATTTAATTTCAAATTCCATGATTAATCTTCAATACCATTAAATCCATTTTTAATAGAGATGAAGGGCTCAGGGCTGAGGGTTTCGGGGGTTCAGGGTCTACAAGGGAGGTATAAGGTTGGAGGTTTGAGGGTTAATGCGGAGGAGCAAACAAGACACGGGCTACAGAGAAAAGAAGGCACAGCTAGGAAAAGAAACGCGACGCAGTCGACGTGCTGAGTGTTTAGTGTGCAAGGGTAGCCCCAGACCCGAAATTCCTACCGAACCGACATGAGCCGACTCGGCCAGATGCTTTGAGGGTTCTCAAAACCCCTCAAATCTCGAAAGCAGCCCGAAACCCTAGAAACTTAGACTAGATCAGCAGCCCACGAAGGGCCCGCAGGGCCCACAAGAGCAGGGTCCAAGGCTCAGTGTTGGGAGGAAAGCAACTTACGCCTGAACGCCCTCGAGGTTACAGGGGGTAGTCAAAACCTACTAGCCATCCCCCAGGAACATTCATGACCATAGCTTTTTAACCAAGCAAATTACAAGAGGTGAGGCCCAAAAGAAAAGTCTTCCACAACGAGCCCTGATCCCGTAGACCCCCTACACCCTCAGCCGCGAAACCCTAACCCGAACCCTCAACCCTAAACTCTAAACCTTAACCCTCAACCCTAAACCTTAACCCTCAACCCTAAACTCTAAACCTTAACCCTAAACCCTAAACCCCTAAGTCGCTCCAGGTGTCCCAGATGGACATGGCACCCGGGATGGCGGCGTCTTCTGCGTCAACTCTTGGGCCCAAACAAACGAAGAGGCCTCCTTTTGGAGTTTGGAGGTATAACGTGCCCTTGATAACTTTTGAAAGGGAGCTAAAGCAGGGGCGCTTCAAGGGGGACTTCAAGGGGGCTAGGTTCTCATGGTATTTAACCACAGAACAGTTATTCTAATCCCAAAACCCACCGCAAGGTTCTTAGGATTCCGAATCTTTCAAGGAGCCCCTGGCAAGATCCAACCCGAAAGTTGGGGTTTAGGGTTTAGGGTTTGGGGTTTAGGGTTTGGGGTTTAGGGTTTGGGGTTTAGGGTTTGGGGTTTAGGGTTTAGGGTTTGGGGTTTAGGGTTTGGGGTTTAGGGTTTTGTATCAAGAACAATGCAAACCCGATGGCATCACCGATGCATAGTCCTAATTTAAAGAGTATCAAATCATGTACCAACAATACTTAAATGCGATCAAACGCTAATAATAACATAGCATTTTCCTTTCATTACTAGTAAAGATTTCTATGAAAAGATATTTAAATATATCTCCTTCGAACTCATTTCTGCTTCTATTCGTGATGTGCGGGAGCCGCGCGGCCGCATCCAAGGCACACGCCAAGCTTTACCAAATAAAAATGCAGGATTCATTCTTATTTACTTCTATCTTCATCCTATTTTACTTTATGAGAAGCCTTTCAATGCAACTGCCTCTGAAACCCAGCAAGGGAACAACCAACATACCAAAACCCTAAACCCTAAACCCATGGCCAAAGGGCTCACCTAGGACTGAGTCCTGAACCCTAAGCCCCTTTGGTTAAGAAACCATCGAGAGGGCCTACAGCGTTCAGGGCGCGGCTTGGATTTGGCGGGCTTTCTATTGAAGGTTCACGGATTCTTGTTTCTCGTTGGGCAGGGTTTAGGGTTTCGGGTAGTAACTCGAGGCCTTCAGGTATGGGCAGTTGAGAGATACATTCCAAGATCGCCCTCCTCACCTCCTGTTAACTCTACAAACTCTCTACAAACCCCCGACGCACATTTTACACGGCGCAGCAGTGCGCCGAAACCGTGGCGGACCCCTTTTCAGGGGTTTTGCTGCGGTCTTGTCCACCTCTGCTGCACGCCCGTGAGGGGCGAATATCACAACACCCCAAACCCTAAACCCATAAACCCTAAACCCTAAACCCATAAACCCTAAACCCTAAACCCTAAACCCTAAACCCATGAACCCATCACTGCGAAGGCACCTCAGCCTGGTCTCGCTGCATCCTGGGAACATACCACAAACCATAGACTTGCTGCCGCGCGACCTTGCGCAACGCTTGCTTCTTTAGCACGCGAAGCAGAATGCATAGGGTCACGGGCGCTTGCTTCATTCAAAACCTGTCCAAACACAACAAACCCTTGCCTAGGGAACCTGAAGGTTTCCGAGAATGAGATCCCTTTTGGGGGTGGTCTCTTTCACTTGGGTGTAGGATTCAGGGCTTAAGGACCGTATTTGGGGTACAGGGGGCCTTGGACGCGCAGAAACACTTGACGCCAAACAAGTCTAAATAGGCTATCAATGGGGGTCCTAGGGCTTAGGGCGATTTATGGTTTAGGGATGTTTAGGGTTTAGGGCTTGAACAACCGGAGCAATGAGCAGCTGGGCAAGAGGTGATCTGGGTCCGCCGGACGGGGAAAACGATGTCCACGGAAGCGCGCGCACTCAAGGCGCAATCCGACGGGCTCTCTCCCACTCCACGAAGCCGCGTAGTACTGCAAGGCTTTGGGTCCTAATGTCCGGAATCCTACACCATATAAGCCCTAAACCGTAAACCTCGAACCGCACAACTGTAAGTTTTGGCAGGTTGGCCCCTGGAACCCTCCGAAAGTTCCTAAACAAGATCTCAAATGCAGTAAGGGGCAACCTTAAGAAATCTAAGGTCTTAGCATGTCTGGGTAGTGCATAGCGAAGCAGGAGAGTGGATCACTAACAAGACCCGGAGACTGAGGGAACGCCGTCACAAAGAAAGCTAGATTTCAGGATGGAATGACCAGTAGAGCAGCTATAGGTTACAGTGGTCAGAAGGGTTTAGGGTTTAGGGTTTTGGGTTTAGGGTTTAGGGTTGAATAACCCGATTCGGGCTTGTTATAGCCCTACTTACAACCAGTTCAAGATTGGAGATGAAGGATATAGGGCTTAGGACTGGAGCTCAGCAAGCTACAATGTAGAGGGCTTCTTTACGGGGTATATAAGGGTAGTGCAGGGTTAGAGAAGGACTTCAGAGCGGTTTGGGGAGGAAAGACGGCGCATGTCCCCACAAGAACCTCCGGGCGGACGAGCCGGGAAATCCCTTCCTCTCGCGATCTTTACCCTCTCTCCAGACAGCCCGCGGTACATTCTAGGTATATATGGCGGTTCCCACAACAGGTGTACCCTTAGTGGGGTTGTTCTTATAACAGGGATTATAGTTTGGGGGGTATAAAGGTAGCTTCGCTGTAGATGCAACTACCCCAAAACATGTCGCACCTTCAGTTGGGTTGGGAGCACACCTCCAGCATTCTGAGCCACCTAAAGTTATCTAAAAGGTCCTTTCTGTTGAAGGGGGCAGTTTGGATATGAGGAGGAGGTGGGGATCACCCGCGCCCTGAGAGACAGTTGGAAAACGTGCAAGCGTGGGCGCGCGAGAGTCTGATTGGTGTTTAAGGCTTGGGCTTAGGGGCTTGGGGGCTTCAGGGCTTAAATGTGTAGGAGTTGAGGGTTCAGGGTGCAAGGGTTCAAGTGTTTAGTCTGTAAGGGTTTGAGGGTCTAGGGAAGTGTCGGGTGATGTTTTCTCACACCTGTGATCCTCCCTCAAGGCTGTTTTGCAATGGCGCATCGTATGGGGCCTTCATCCTGAAGACCTTGTACAGCGGCCCATGTAGACCTAAAGTACCAATGAGTTCATGCAACCCTCTACACAAAGGGTTTAGGGTTTAGGGTTTAGGGTTCAGGACCAGAATATCACAGGACCTCGTAGTCTGACCCTGAGCCCCAACCCAAAGCCCTACAGCTCAACACACACAAAGCCCTAAGGCCTTGACCCTAAGACGACGCCTGCGCCTGGGCGTAGAAGCCCATCAAGTTTTGCAACTCTGGCTTACTCTGCCTCACGGCTGACTGTGCACCTGGCATTTAGGGGCTTCGAAGCCTCAGCCCTACACCGCTTCTTAAGGCTTTGGAGTAGACCCTGGAAATAAGTAGATACTTTTAGGAGGCCCCACTTGAAGGTTCATGGTACTTACTAACCAATTATAACTGGGCTTATAACCCTACTTATAATTGGGATAACCCCTATAAGGCCCTTTAGGGGTTATTAGAAGTAGGGCTATAAGTACAGTGATAATTGGTTAGTAAGTACCATGAACCTTCAAGCAGAGCATCGCGAGGGCGGTGCCATGTCAATGGTCAGTAGCTAAGGAAAGGGGCGATGCTGTTGAAGCCCACGCTCGTGGCAATCAGTGAGGTGGGCCCAAAGGATGTAAAACTCCAGGCCCGTCACCCTCAAGTCCAAAACTCCAAGGGTGTGTGTGTGTGTGTGTGTGTGTGTGTGTGTGTGTGTGTGTGCTTTTTTTGGGTTTAGGGGTGAAATCTCCCAACACAGGAGACAAGCCAAACAGTCCAAGACACTTCCCTCATGTAGAGGCCTATTCGAACAGAGAATTCATATTTTGGGTAGTTTGTATGATGCATATATGCACATATATATATATATGTATATACATATATATGATGCATGACATGTACACATATATATATATACATATATATACCTAGGGTTTAGAAGCACGGGAATATCTCACCTATTTGCTAGTTCATGGTTGGGATAGTATTACATGTAAAACTTCTAGTCCTTATTGAGTTTGAGTTTAAGTACCCTTTTAAACATGTAAAATGTTACCCCACCATGACAGAGTTTACGCTCCTGTGTTACTGGAAGGCCTTCGAGGATGATCCGAATGTTGTTGCCACCAGACTCCTGCCACGGATACTTGCGGTTTAGGGTTTAGGGTTTAGGGTTTAGGGTTTAGGGTTTAGGGTTTAGGGTTTAGGGTTTAGGGTTTAGGGTTTAGGGTTTAGGGTTTAGGGTTTAGGGTTTAGGGGCACGCCTAGCTGCACTTGCAACCCACAGTTGCTAAGATGGGCCCATGGCTTTTGTTTGGTAGCTTCTGCGATGGTTGCACGAGGATTTGAAAGGGGATCATATCAGTTTTACTGCAAGCATCCCCAAAAGGACCCCCCCCCCCCCCCCCTTTTAAACACTCACGAATGTGTGAAGGAACCATACTAATTACACACTCACCAGTTTCAACAATATAGACCCTACCTCATATGGGCATTCTTGTGGCCCTTGTAGCACTGTCCAGAGTGGCAAGGAATGATCACTTCTGTATGCTTCAGAAACCTGGTTAAACCCTTGCCAGTTCTGTTATTTGCAGCGCACCTTGCACATGCGATTGCACCGTGCGTTGCGGGTGCTCTGTGTCGAGTGGGCATTGGACTCTGGTGCTCCATAGCTGCTTGCATCAGCCAACCCGGGACCAAAAAAAACAGCAAGTTTAGGGTTTAGGGTTTAGGGTTTAGGGTTTAGGGTTTAGGGTTTCTCCAGTGACACATGAACAATAAGCCCCCTCCCCATAGCGAGTTCTTCCAAACGCCGTGGGCAACGGCTCCATTGAGGTTGTTCAAAATCAGGGTCCCCATACAGGTATCCTGTTCGAAAGCTCCCCCCGCTTTAACACCAAAGCTAGTTTAAGGCACCTCCCCCAACTAAACCCTAAACCCTGAAAAAAGTGTCCTCCATACGCAGCTCTATCCCCCAATCTCCAGAGAATCGCTCCAAGTCCGCCTGGAGCCAGGATCTGAAATTTGCAGTTAAGGCTTCTTTGGCTTCTGGGGCCTAAGACCCCCTAAGCCCAAAAACTCCTGACAAAATTTCCACGGGTTTTAAATAGTGGCTTGAGGGAATGGTAGGCTTTAAGTAAGGTTTACCTTCGGTACCTGTCATTAACATAAACCTATCAACCTGCGAATCTTGCTGACCCCCAAAACCCGATAAACCACAAACTCAACCCCGGACCCTGACGTACACCGCAAATCCTCAGTAAACCCTGCCCCCCCCCTCCCCCCCTCCCTTCCACCATAAACCAAATAACTCAGCAAATGAACGCCGAAGCCAAGCGCGCTGTCCACGATCAGCCCAAGAGTCTTGCACACTCAGCACCACATGAACCCACGCCCTCCTCAGATCCCCAAAGCCCTCAACCGAGAAAGACCGAAAACTCTAGTGACCCGAATGCACCAACGTTGGAAACACTCTAAACCCCAAACCCTAACCCTAAACTGCTTCATTGTTGGGATGAAATTCAAAATTATCATTGTCCTTATTGGGAATTTAAGATAACAAACATGCAAAATTATAACCAACCAGGACCAGTAATCCTAACCTTGAACCTTAACCCTGAGTAACCCCGACCCTCGGGCCCCCAAAAAACGGCTTTCAGGCCCCAAAAATTTCAAGCCTAAAAGCCCCCTTAAAAGTGACAGGCCAAGGCCTGGAGCGAGGTCTTATCGACGGGTGCGGGGGGCGCGAGGATGCCAGCGACCTCCGCGCAGGTCGGCACATACTCAAGAAGGCCCGGCCAACCGACTTCTGAGGAAGACGTGACAAGCACACGCCTATCTGCTACGCCATACGAGCACCAGAAATACACCAGACCCACAGAGCATGGGCCTGAACGTGTGGCTCGACCTTCACCACGCAGCCATCCCCGAAGAGGTCAGCAAAGCGTTGTTCGCAGTCCTGCCATCTGAGGGGCATTCCTTAATTAAAGGGTATTGGGCTCTCTGGATCTCTCAAAAGACTCCATTTATGTCCAAAGCCTAAGGCGCTCATGCCTCACGCTTCCGATCCGAGTTCCTCCTTGAGCCCAGCTCAAGGCTTCCGCGCCTTTGGGCCCTTTGGGCCCTTCGGGATGGCTACCAGAGCCTTTCAGAACTCGCGCTGTCCAAGAGCAGGTTTTCCGAAGCCGCAAGATGTTGGCCTTTGGCTCGGCAAGCCCACCTTTCCCGGAGCACACGCTCCAAGACACGCAGGGTTGCTTCTCACTGCCGCATGGAGCAATGACCGGAAGGATCTGAATCTGGATGAGGGATGCCTGCGACTTCGCATCTTCTTTCTTCAACATGACATTCGTTGCCAGGGCGGAACAAAAACAACAACCTGCATCTTCAACCCATTACCCCGCTAAAGTGTTTAAGCAGAAGGGGTTAAGTGCGGGGCCTACGGTTACTGTAAGGCTGCGGCGGGGATCTTGCCGGGTTGCCGGGGTCAATCCTCAGCCCCGAAACCCTACAACTTAGGACTCAGGGCTTGGCGTACAATCAATATTTTGCTCAACCTGCGACCTTGAAAGCTTCTATAGGCTCCTCCTCCTCGGGTGAGCTACAACCGGTCCTAAACTTGAAGTCCAAAACCCCAAATTCGGTCTGCTGGCCCATCTTGCGCGTACGACTTTGGAATTTGGGTTCAGGTAGGTCTTCGGGATTCGGTTTAATATGAAGATGTGACCCTAAACCCTAAACCCTAAACCCTAAACCCTAAACCCTAAACCCTAAACCCTAAACCCTAAACCCTAAACCCTAAACCCTAAACCCTAAACCCTAAACCCTAAACCCTGCCGAGCTCTCCTCGTCTGGGAGCTCAATGAGACTTGTGCCATTGATCTGCGAGGCAAGGCTTTTGAAAGCAAACTTAGTGCCTTAACTTGAGAAGTGTACGTTTGGCTCTAAGACATTCAGACAAGATTATGGCCAGTTCCCACTGCACTCACATTCACTGTATCCCTATTATTGTGACATGAAAACAGCGGCTTGGTTCAGGGAATCAGCAGAACGCACCTGGCTGCTTTGAACTGTGCTGCTTTGTTTGCAACTTGGTGGGTAACATCGTACATGCGAGACAACCGCAACCAAAAAATGGCGTTCTATGGGAAAGAATGCACCACCAGCCTGCAGCCCTCGACTGTGGAGGACAACCGCCACCACTCAGAACACATAATATAGGTGTCGGAATACATAGTAGTATTATTCCTTTACGGTCCCTTTATACTTATACCATAATAACCCCCAAAACCCTTTTCTAATTATCAAGGCCCCTTTTCTTACAGGGAAAAGGATCTCGCGGAATCTGCTCACATGCCTAAAAGCCTGCCACGCAAAGGCTCACAAGTCTACTTGCAATGTCAAGATCAAGAATCCTGCATATTGTAGGAGCCCGTGCAACATGATGAAGGTAGTACACGTTCTTTTCGATAGGTGGTATCTGACGACTTCGGTTTGTGGGTAAGGGCAACCTTTGTCTGGATGAATATGCCTCCTAATAAGGGACACTAACTAAAAGAGGGAAGAAGGGCACTTCTGGGCGGAGCGTCTTGCGGCAGGTGTCGCGGACCACAATGTTGGAAATTCTACAAAACGTCGTTATTTGCGGCACTTTCTCAGCTGTGACACTAAATCCCAAAGCCAAAGGCCCTAATGGAACCCCAAACCCCATATAACCCCCAAGCAACGAAGGTGGCCCGGCGACAAGAATGCGGTGGCCAAAGCAGCATATAATGGGGATCCCAACTTCTCCAAACAAAGCGTTTAGGCGGGGTTTTGGGTTTAGGGTTTAGGGTTTAGGGAGCCACATGCACCGTAAGGCACACACCTTGAACGTCCTCGGAGTGACGTGATGCCAACTTTAGTTCAGGTATGTATTGGGCTCTCGACGAACCCTCAAGCTCAAAACCTCGAAACCCCCAACCTAGAAGCCAACAACCTGTAGACCTTAAAACCCCGAAGCTTCAACCCAAACCTCAAAACCCCCAAGCTCCCTAAACCCTAAACCAGCCCAAGCTCCAACAAGCTCCAATGAATAACCAGCCCAACCCTCACCCCCAAGAAAACAAAAATGAAATTTGAAAATGATCCCAAAAAGGAAAAAACAAGAAAAGGAAACCCTCAAGCCTTAAAAAGCCGAAAACCCGAACACCCTACTTGTAAAACCCCAAAGCCCTAAACCCACAACCCCCCCCCCCCCCCCCCCCCCCCCCCCAAGAAAAAAAAAAAAAAAACCCTAAACCCTAAACCCTAAACCCCCTAAACCCTAAACCCCAAAAAACCAAGCCCCAAAAGCAGGCGCCGCCTGTACCAGCGAGTCTTTCAACCGGAGCCCAGGTTGACCCGGCTCCGGATCGATGCCGTCCTTTTTTTGTTGGGGGGGGGGGGGGGGGGGGTTTAGGGTTTAGGGTTTAGGGTTTAGGATTTTGGGTTTAGGCTTTAGGGTTTAAGGTTTAGTGGGTGGAAGGTGGCTTCCATGTCATATAACTAAACTATTACTTCAACCAATCATTATTCATCAGAAGCAGAATGTAAAAATAGTTTAACAAAAGACAATAAGTTTAGAATCATTATTCCTCTTCAGTTCTTTGAGGGAAAGGGTGTGTGTGTGTGTGCGCGTGTGCGGGAGGGGGGGGGGTTGACCTCTGAGCCTTGATTCTCCTTGGGGTTTAGTTTAGGGCTTCGGGTCCCTTTCTGGTCCTTCGAATTCATGAAATAGGGATTTTGGATTTAGGGGATCCGCTCAGTATGGGACCCTGCACCGGAACATCAAGCTCAACGTGCGCCAGGGGGTTCCAGGGACAGAAGCATCAGTTTCCCAAGTTGTGCCACCAAGCATCCACCACCATTCCCCACCAGGAGGCATGGAGGTCGATTCCGGCGCCAGCTTCCTGACTTGGAGGTTTCGGGAACCCTGAAATCTCTTACCCCAAAAAAGAGAGTGTAGGATGGGCAGAGGAGCGGGCTCAGGGTCACACGACTCTCGTGGATTTAGGATTATATAAACCCTGAACCCTGAACCCTGAACCCTGAACCCTGAACCCTAAACCCTAAACCCTAAACCCTAAACCCTAAACCCTAAACCCTAAACCCTAAACCCGAACCGAAAGCACTCCAAAGGTCCGAAGGTGTCAGTGCAGACCAGGAGGCCACGTGTGCGCGCAGCGTGAGGCACCGGGGAGCTTCGCTCTCTTCCTGGAGAAGAGACGTAGTTGCTGAGTTCATAAGCCCCACAAAGGGGTTTAGGGTTTGGGGTTTAGGGTTTAGGGTTCGGTTCTATAGGGGATTATCGTATCCCAAAAAGTGTAAAGTGTACTCATTCAGCTACTGAGGAGAGCTTGTTCGGGACGCGGGTTTAGGAGGTTTGGGCTTTGGATCGTGCTGGGGACTTTTGAAGGCACATAAAAACCCACACCCTTCCACCCAAGCCTCCTGCAAGGGATGACAGAGGCTTTAGGGACGTTGGGTGTAGGGTATTTCGGGTTTAGGGTTTAGGGTTCGGGGTTTTGGGGAATGTCCTCCATGTTGGGGGACGGCGGAGAGGGGTTTGGGGCGTAGGGTTGTCGCGCCGAAGCCTTGGAAGTTGGGATTTTGAGGGTTTTCTGGGGCAAAAGGGGCAAAGAGGGGCCCCTGACAGTGTCGGCAACAGTGATTCAGGTTCAGCCCCCTATTACTTGGAAGCTCATGGGGGTGTTTAACACCGGGGTTATAACTAAGGGCACAGGGGTGGGGGAGGATTGGGGTTCTAGGGCCGTTTCGGGACTTTCGGGTCAACTTGTCTTCGAAGCATCCTAAACAAGAAACTAAGCCGACAGTCCAACATATAGTAACTGCGCCAGGTCGGACTTTCGGTATCTCGATGCTCCCGGTATCTCGATGTTCCCCCAAGTAGCCCAGGAGTTATTCACACCCGCGCAATGCAAATGCCTTGCAAGCGGGCCTGTTGCGCCTTCGCAAGCTTCCGCACGCCGCTCTCATCCGACTGTTCGACTGAGGCCTTGAGGTCCGCTGCCACAACGGCATAGCTCTCATGGAATAGCCGCCTCAGGCGAGCAGTTTCGGCCAACGAGGGGTCGCGCTTCAGGGCCTTCTTGAGCATGCTCAGGAAGTTGTCCTCATTGCTGCTGCCAGGGACATGAGAACACCCAAAGGCAAAATTTGCCATGGAGTCCAGGCCCTCTTCTTTCAATGCCTTGAACACGTCATCACTCAAGCCAATCTCGCGCGCGCGACTCTCAAAAACTGCTGCACTCTCTGCGAAAGCCATGAGAGGAAGGCAAGCTACGGGCAGAGTCACTGCTACGCGCTCTCGAAAGTCTCGAAAAGGCTCACACTGCAGCAAGACAAGGCGCTGCCACACTGCCACAAAGGGGGTGGCGCACGCTGTGGAATTAACGCAACGCGACACAATCACAAGCACAACAGCTAGCAACTAGCACGCACGACAAAGCAACTTGCAGGCCTGCAATTACGCACACTGTCTCACAAGTTCGCACTCACAATCCGCACTCCGCAGCCGCAGTACCTTCACTGTCAGCAAAGACATGTAGACAGCGCGTAAATTTGTGCCTGGCATAATTCTTGTCAGGCGATGCCTCATCACCTGCCCAGTCACCGATCACATCGTCGCACGCCTTCTCCTCCTCGGAGAGCTGCTGTTCGTCCTCGTCCAGCGATGCTTCCGAGGAGCTGCTGCTGTCAGAGTCCTCCAGCGGCTGCACATTGCCATCAGGCTTAATTGAGGAAATAGCCGCTGCGGGTGGTGTCGATCCCGAACTGATCTTGTTCAGAACCTGGACCAGTTCTCTCAGAGGCCTGGCCATCGCGTCCCTGCTGTAGGTCAGCATGGACTGATCCCCAGCTTTTGCGTGGTATCCCAGAAGGCGGCGGGCGGCGTGGGACAGGCCGGCTTTTGCTGCCCAAGACAGGACGGTGACTTTTGCGCTGTGCGTGCCAAGGTTCTGACCTCGCACTCCCGCTGACGACACAAGCGACCGCAGCCAATTTCCCGCCTCTGTTGCGCCCATAGGGAGTGTCCCCCACTGCCCATTCGCCATGGGCGTTGTCAGCAGCGGATACTGAACATCCACAACCAAGCCAAGTTTCTCGCGCAGGGCAAGCCACGTCTCGACCCAAGGAGTATTGCCCACCGACTCAATGGGCACTGCGACTGGCAGCAATCGCGTCTTCGACGCTAGACTGTCATCGTCTTAGTGCGCTTGCATGTGGCCTCGAGGAAGCCGACCGTCTTTCCCTGCACCTTCTGCGTGTCCAGCTTAACACTGTTAATGTGCTGCGCATCTGAGTAGCGGAGTCGGCCATAGACGCACACCAAGAAGAAGCCCGCCGCCATCCGGTCCTTATCAGCAGCGTCAGCATCCATGACACACTTTTCAAGCGCAATCACCTGGGCCACAGTTAACGGATCCCGCTGCCGGAGAGCTCGCTTGCGCTTGAAATGCTCAGCGCTGACACCACGAACTCTACCAGAATCCAGCACAGCCTTCACGCCACACAAACCCAACACATGCATTGCAAAAGACATAGCAACCAAACATGACTGCAAATGCGTGGGCGCAGTAGATGGCCCCACGTCCTTGAAGTACGCGTAGACCATTTCCTCTTGCAAAGGCCAGGGGTCATGACCCTGGGCGCGCCAGAAACTGCTATAACGCAGCAGTGGCCCCTGCGCGAACATGTAGGGTCGCAGTAGCCTTGTTGGCCAACGCGTCCGTAATGGACTCAATAAAACCTCCACATTTAGATGGCAAGTGGACTGTAGCAAAGTGTTGTCGCCCAATTTCCCAGGCAGCAGGCTGCAATTTCACCAGACAGGCCCACTTCTTAACAGCAGCGCGGCGATCTCGCTGCAGCTTCGCTGCCCAATCGACAGACGCTGCAGGCGCTGTCGCCAGACGCAGGCCAGCCAAGCGAAAAGCACGACCACCCTCAAGTGAGCTCGGCGCCGACACATCTTCACCAAGATCGAAGCATGGCAGCGGCGCCATCCAACCTCGGAGTTGTTGTACCCGCATCGCGCTGCCGAGCTGGGACATTCTGGAGATAAGTGTATCATCCCAAAACTGCCGCACCTGGCTGCCAGCCGCAGCACGCCAACAGTACTGGACATGGAGGCTGACAGCAACGCTTGATGCTTCATCAGCAGCTCGAGGCCGCTTCGCACCACGCCCCATTCCTCAAAATCAACTAGGCTGCAGGCTTTGCTGCAGCCCAGACTAATGGGACGCTTTCCCTCCCACCCACCTCGAACCTGCACGTTACGGGGAAGAGGAACAGTTCATCCAATAAACAAACAAGGCAAACCAGTCTGTCAAGACCCTGTCGGCTCACGACCGGTCGCCTGCCACTCCCTGCCCTAAATCTATAAAGAGCTATTGAGCAAGTCAACTGCAGCCTTCATCCACAACCTCGTCCTGCGCAGCATCGACTGGGTCCTGATCCAGATTGTCTTCCTCGTCCATTGAATCTTCGCTGTCTGATGGTTCGGCTTCGGCAGGAAAGTAACCTGATAGCGTAGCATCAGGTAGGAAGGACTTCTTGTAATTCTTGTAGACCTTCAAGACGACGTCCTCCAGAGCTCACACGGGGCCTGACATGGAATCGCGCGAGTAGACCAAGGGTGTCTTCTCACCCGCCTGCGAGTGATAGCCCAGCAATCGCCTCGTGGGAAGACCAACGCCCGCCTTGCTAAGCCAAGAAAATGTAATTGCCTTGCACGAATGGCCTCTGCCCAAAAGAACGCTGGGGCCAGCCAACAGCAAAGGCGGAAGCAACATTGGCACGCCAGGCCCTTCCGGCGCCCTCGACTCTTTGCGCGCACGCAGCCAAGCTGAAAACCGATCAAGATGCACTTTCTTCCGTTTCTTCAAATACGCATCAAGCGCCACTTTAACCACGCGCGCACTTGTGGCAGCTTCCTGCGCACCTAGTAAGTCCAGCAAGTGATGGCTGAAAGACAAACCGACAAAGCTTCGGAGGAAGATTCGAGCAGCTGATTCTTCATGGGCTTTTGCGAATGCATACACGACTTGTTTTACAATAGGGAAGGAAGCGTGCCCCTGTTGCACCAGTTTACAAAGCGGCAAACTCCGTGCAACGCGCCAGCCGCTTTGCCCCAAAGACAAAGAGCGGATCAAGTTTGGACAGCCTCCCTCGAAGGCGAAACTTGAGTCGCAAAGCAAACGCTTCGTTATCGGCAGGCTCATCCAACAAGTTTAGATGAGGCAAGGAACAGACGCAAGCATGATCTTTTCCAAGCTGGCTTGAAGAGAGGTGTCGAAGCTCTTCAACAGAATGTAAGTGCCCTTCAAACAGCGTCGACTCAACCTGGTTCGAGTTCTGGACTTTGCCCAGACAAACTCTCTTGGCAACACGCACAAAAAAACAATCAAGCATCAACTTGTCAACAAAAGGCGTGGAAAAAAAGCTGTTACGAAAATTGCACGCTTCAATAAGGATGTCGCTGGTGACTCGGAGCTCCGTGCACGTTCTCATCGCCTACGGGTTCTGGTTTTGCTGGCGGCGTGCCTGGGGGCCGGCCAAACAATCGGCTGTATCTTAGCGTTTACGGCTTGGGGTCAAGCCCTAAACCCTAAGCCCCTAAAACCTAAACCCATAATTAAACCCCGAAGCCCCTGAACCCCTAAACCCTAAACCCTGAACTTCCCTAAACCTCCTTTCAGGAAAGTCTTGAAGGCTCAGTCCTTGGGCACACGTCCCCAGGCGAAGCCGGCGGAGGCCTGGTCCCAAGAGCCGGTTCCTCAACCCTAAAACCTGATACCGAAACCCTGAGAATTTCCTAGAGCGCTACACCCCCAACAGATTTAGTTTGGAGGTTCTTTTACTTCACCCCTTAGAGCGACCTAGAGCCCTCTAACCCCCTGAAAAATGTAGCTTGGAATCTGGGCCTTGCGCGTGCCGAAGTCCTCGGAGCAACTGGGCCCCAAAGCTCTCCAGTTTCTTTGACGTCTTGGGCTGCAGAGCTAAGCTGGAAAACCATACACCCAAAGCCCCAGCTGAGGGTTTAGGGAGGGTTTCGGAATCTGATAAGGGCCGCCCCGGCCTCCCTCCAATTCAGAGTTTAGGGCTTCAGACACATAATCTTCCTAGCACAGTCTAAGCCGTTTGGCCGCGTATCTGCTTCTACGTGCTGCTGCAAACCTGCTGCCAAGCCTCGAAACAACCCAGCCCCGACCCTGCACAGAAAGCACCTGTCTAAACTCCAAAGCCCAAGTGTGTAGGGGCTACACCCTCCAAAGCCCTGAGCCAAAACCGAATCCTGAAAGCTTAAACCTTCATGGGAAACTATCAGTAGGCTTCTTTCTGAGCACCCCAACGGCAGCTAGAGCCAGAGTTACCCTGCCTGCAGCCCACTACCCGTGAAGCACCAGGTAGACCCAAAACTCTAGTTATAGAAACAGACAACTAAAACACCTAACTGTTGGAAAACCCTATGCCAAAGTGCTTCAACGTCCCAACACACATACAGGTCTTCAATCCTTTAGGGTCCCAGCGTTGACCCCTAAATGAATACGCCAAACCTCTAAACCCTGACATCCCGAAACTCTAAACCTTACCAAACCCTAAACCTTCCTAACCCTGAACCCTCAACCCTGAACCCTAAACCCTAAACCCTAAACCCTAACTGAAGTGACACCCGCAGAGGCCTCGTTGAGCTTGGGCAGCGGGACGGCTCCGAACTCTTTGCTGACCTCGCGGTTTGGGCTGAGCGGGGCATGTTTGTTGGGACTCTGTACATATTTTTGTGTGGGTGTGTGTGTGTGTGATGCACTCACCAATATTTCTGAAGACCCAATCATGGATCTAAAGGGGGACATGCCGCCAAAGAGCCCCCCCAGAAGAGGGTTTCACTGAAAAACGTCGCAAACCTCTTGAAGGCTTCTCCTGCCCTGTCTTCTGGGGGTTTCCACGGGCGTTCTCCCTCAAACTCAAAACCCTCAACTCGAATCCTGTGATACAAGGGTTTGGAGAAAGCCGATTTGCGTTTGGCATGCGTGCAATTCGGGCTTGCAAGAAGGGCGCTGCGGTAGCTAGATAAGTTTAGGGGCTTCTTAGAGGTTCATGGGTAGCCATAGCTGGGGTAACAGGTAGAATAACACCCGAAAACCCCAAACCCTGTAACCCTCGTTGGGATACCTAGGCCTATAACCTGAGCAAGAACTCCCCGCATGCCGTCAGCTAATGAGCCCACGAGCCTACATCCGAGACATGCGCAACACCTGGTGA